GTGAATAACATCTGTGTTGTGTTTTCTTTCCAAGGTGGGAGAAGACCCTTTTGTGCAGCTTTCCATATACCTTGGGCAATACTCTTATGATGCAGTGATCAGAGTTAAGTAGTGGGGCTCTTTTCCGAGCTTCAAATATTCCTATGTCATTTGTGAACACAAGATCTAGAATATTATCCATTTGAGTCGGGAAGTTGACAATGTTATCATGATCAAGTGAAATAAGGAAACTGTGATCACTAGAATTGAAATCTCCAGTAACTGTAGACAAGGAGTTTCCGAAGGAGGTGGCAGCAAGGGAGGTAAATTCATCAGCAAATAAAGACAATTCAGTGGAATTGCATCCAGGTGCAATATAAATGTTCGAGATGTATATGTAGTTATATTTTGACAAATGCTTAGGTCGACATTTGACGGTGAGGCAGTCAATGTTGTCACTAGAGAATTTGAAACATACTTTATTGGATGTACACCATTGTGAATTTGTGAAGATGGCGACACCTCCACCACGTTTCTTCCTAGAACTACATCGATCTTGTCTGAATAGTTTGAAATCATGCAGATACACTAGATTGTCATCGTATAGATCATGTAGCCATGTTTCTTGAAGTGATATGATCCCAGTATTTCGATATATAATGGAAGACACAAGTGATTGAAGATAGTTAATCTTGGCTGGCAGGGAGCGACAGTTAGTACTCATGATTGCAGGGACGGTCATAAATTGAATAGGGGTGTTTTTTAAGGCTCTTTGCCACCCGGCGTGATGCTTTTTTTTGTCTTTTTTATGGCATTTCCGATCGGTAGGTTTTAAGGATATTAAATACTCACGAGAATAAATAATCCGATTAGAGGACATATTAGAATAAAATTTAATTATTTAAAATAAATTGGAAATGAGCAATTAGATGCAATATGATTTGTAATGATTAAGGTATTTGGTAGCCCAAGATTTAAGCAGGCCGCTAAGGAGATTGCAAATTAGACCAGCTGGTCAATATTACTGTATGAGAAATCAAGTCTGTGAGAGTTGAAGAAGACATGACGTCTGTGAGAAGCCAACAAGGAGAAAACACTGCAAATATATGCATGACGAAATTCAGAAACCGCCATAGACTTCTGGTTGATAGTATTCTTCATGATTACCACTCTCGCATGATACATTATAAGGTCAAATCCTTCGTTAAGCAAACATCATTCACATGCACGTGTTTATCATCGCACGATGATGATTGGGCGATTTCGCTTTCTTATCATCTAGATTGAAAGAAAATAGTCATACAAACTGAGCATAACTCACAATATCAGCGAGTGAATAACATGTGCCAGGCTTCACGATTACTAATTGAGTGCTAAGTGGTAAGCTCTTTAGTTTTTAGCATGAATATGGTAATAAATCCAGACCCTCGTAGACTTCACCTGCCTACAGCTGCAGAATACCAGATTAGAACATAATGGCTACCTTTCACATAACCCCTGTTCTCTAGTGAATATCTGCTCCTTGCTCAGTGGACAGAGGAGATGAGGTCAACAAGTGAAATCAGATAAGATCTTGACTAAAGTTTGATGATATATAAGAACACGCCATTGCATTAGAAATGTGGGAAATAGAAGAGCGTGTTTCTGTGAAGTTACACTAGATGTGAGTATATGTCACCTCCTCTCATTAGTTATTGCCGATCACGTGGACAAACGATGGCAGTTGTATGGGAATATTCTGTGAGTCTGATTCCACTTGAGCGCCGATGCTTATATTTTGAAATTGACATCCAGAGATGTAGGAATCAAGATTCTGTGTATTGATTGGGAAAGTTTTGGCATTTTCATGGAGTTTATTCATACTCATTGATGAATTATCTGTGCTCACAGGCTATCGATGCCAGCTGTATTCCACAAGTGATAGCAAATCAGATAATCAATCCCAACACAGTGTCAGTAACAACTCAAGGGATTTCGATTGATCGTCATCGCTAAACAATCTGAGTACTTTTGGTATCAATACTCACTGATGCTTTGTCTTGTCCTGAGTGAGTATCTCATTGGGTTTTACACTGAATTCTGCTCATCAGTGAGCGAAACGGAACAGATGGTGATAAAACACTCCGTTTGTTGACAAACGGTGAAACTTTCCGGGAATAGGCTGGGCTAAAGTAAGTGCTTCAGGGAAATAGAGTTGGATTCATCTGACCTTGTCATGTCTTCAAAATTTCCTCTAAATCGTTCTCTTTCTAAGCAAAACTCTGAGTGGAATCTGTGAATAAAGGAAACTAATTCATGAATTAGATTTTGAGCATTTCGTTGGAGCATGAAATATGAATGTACTATGTCATTTTGTGTAAAATGAGCATTTTCGTTTTATCAATGGTTGTGAAAGCAGTAAACGTATCGCAGCGTTGTCAGTAAAGTAGAAGTCGTCGCATGATGACGTCTTGAATCTCGTTTCAGGGCAGAGTGCTGTTCACAGGTAGATCTGTGATTCAATTATTCAATTATAGTAGACTGGCCATCTAAAGGGAAGGTCGGAATTCGTTTCTTCGACAGTCACATCCAAACAATAAGTACAGTTTACTAGATAGTAACAAGCCTGGATAGAAGGAAATATTTCATGTATTATTAGAAACCAAAGAGCATAAAAGCAGCACCATCACGACCAAGGCTTCAAAAGCTTGAAGTTGTGTGTTCCACTCGGAAAGTAGAGGTAGGACGGATTGAAACAAACAACGAATAGACAGAATTTCTAGACCTGTCAGTGTGGGAGAGTGAGCATTGATTTAAAAATTAAAATCGTACTCTCGTCATTAGGAGGACTTGTTGCACGAGATAGAGTCGGTAAATAGATTTCAAGTCATCTGAATAAGTTCAACATGAGAATCATAACAAATTGAGGCACAATAAACGGAATGACCTCCATAGAAAATTTTAAAAAATCAATGAAATGATCGACATTTTTTGACACTTTTACTTTATTTGGAAATGTGGAGGAGGCAAACCATGAAAGACGAGTTGAACTTCATCAATGTTTCAAGAGAGTAGGAATTTAAAATAGAAAAGTGCAAAGGAATGAATGAATTCAGTCAATGTGAATGACGTCACAGAATTGACATTTGTCTGAAATATTCACTGACGAAGATTACACAAATAGCTACCGGCAGCTCTCAACTGACATTTGTCATTGTATCCTGTACTCGTCAATCTATATTAGCCAGTTTCACGACTATCCATAAACCTTCATTCTCTCATCAAACAGTCTCCTTCACTTCATCCTCGAAGTGACGTCTAACTGTTCGCTCATCATTTGGGTTTTATTCAAGAGCCTTAAGAATATTGTCAGTCATCAGTGTCTACAGTGGAGGACCAAAACATCCTCACTTCCTCCAGCGCTTTTATATGAGTGATGTGGTGTCTGCTGCTTTGTTAACACATCGCCTTGTTAATCATCTATTCTGGACAAATGCATTTCAGCACAAAAGTCATCGCAATCATATAACAATCGCAATCATTTATTTTGAGCCAGTGGCTGCAGAATTCGTTTTCATGAACGGATGACTTTCAACCTCATTACACAGTTTCGCCGTCTTTTCTTAACCGTTTATCTTCCAACAAACAGTCACATTTCTTCAATCATTACTTATGACGTTCGAGACGTTAAGCAAATTAAGTATAAAATACACTCTGTCTCATAATAATCGATCGTCGTAGTCGCCCTTCTTGTTGTCATCTTCTGGGTATTTGTCGGCTGCTGTTTGCAGTGAACATTCTGACAGTCACAGGTCACTCGATTTCTTTTCATATTGACCTCACTCAGTGAAACGGAAGTTACAAATTACGGATAATCGTTCAGTTTTACTCAAGACAGACTTAGTATTTCTTAAGCTATGCAGTCAAGTTTATAGGACATCTACACACAGCCAACAAGAATCGAAATCCATGCTGGTATTTGCTCTTTATGTAAGTGTTTCTCATGCGACTTCATGTCTATGAGACAGATAAAAATATACGATGAGTGCATTCCGATCAGTTGATATCACACGCTGGTTAATAAAATGGAGGTATATCGCCCCGCTGAAAATTATTAATCATTCAAATTTGACGTAAATGCAATATAAATCGAGGAGATTATGATGTTCTCACGGACACAATCGAAGGACAATTTGTATACTATATGATGTTTAAGCTTACACAACAAGGCTGTATCATTTAAAATTCACAAATCATTTCAACATTGAACACAATTCCAAATTTTTACATCCTTATTTCAAATATCATACGAATTTAGTTCAGTCGTCTTATCTGAGAGAATGTCATACCGATCTCAAAACCGAGACATGATAGCTGACAGTGACTCGAGGTCAAATTACTACCGACCGTAGGAAAGATAATAAGCTTTGTTTTATCTCTCTTTCTCGCATGAGGCAAGTCACATTTCTAATGAGAGTGAAAAGGAAATGAAGCACACAAACGCATACACACTCACACACACTGAATGAACACATTAGGTGTTAATGTGATCAAACGAAATTTGACAAAGTCGTCTGTTTCGTTATTAGAGCTCAATGATTCAATAAATAATTAAAAAAGTATTGATTAATAAGTGATGCCATGAACTTCAAAGGGTATGACGCGTCGTGCGCATGTATCGATAACTGATAACATTCTTGTTGTCTATCTGTCTGTCTTGAGTTCTGTGTGGCTGATGGTAAGGTGGATGACCAACATGAATGAGAAACGTACGATAAATGAAGAGAGAAGTCAGTCAATGGAAGTGTTGTGTAGCATTTTATAGAAGACACAGACTGAATTTTATTACCGAACAAATTCAACTGAATAACCCTTCGAATTACCTACCCATGGACAGAGCGATAGAAAACGTGATACTTGCATTATAATTACTTTATTATAATGATTACTGAATTGTCATTATTAAATAGAAAGGCAAGGGCTGCTAAATTACTGTTAAATCATTGGTAAAACATGAGAAAATGAAGATGATACGAGGCATGTCAACACTGTTTTTTCGACCGGAACCACTGGTGAGCAGACTACAGAAAGAAAGCAAAAATGGTGTTAGCAGATGACATGGAAAGTTGGTTGTGTAGATGCTTGCAACCAACATCACGACAGACGGGAAAATATCACATGAACACCCATCACACATAATACCATAATCCTCGTCTCATCAGAATACTTTCACACCTGCACCACATAAGTAACTGAATAGATAATTCATTATATAAACACCTCTGAAACACAGGATAACATCCCAGTGAAATTGCATTTCGCTGCATACAAGACAACTACAATTGACGTGATCACTAATATTCTTGTTGTTGAAGGGAATCTTGAGAACTGATTAAGTGCTATGCCAGCGCTTTTCCATACACATGACACGCATTCTGTTTGTTCTCAGTGAGTGAGTCGAATACAGTTGACAAAGACTTCGTAGCAGATGCTTATTGATATTGTGAATCTCAAAGTGTTTTTGGTGTGAATGTGACAAGTGCTGAGCAGACTGACATGATATTTCTTTTACCGTTTCAAGTTTCATGCAAATGGAAACATTGACAGGATATTGAGAAACATTTACTGAATAAGGAAGGACACAAGTGAACTCAACGACTTCTTACCATCAGTCTGTCGGCGAGGTTTTCATATATCGGCAATAACGCTGAAATATGATTGAAATCCTGTGTGAGTGAACAGTTTACAACGCAGAATATGAAATATTCAATTTGAGCTATTTATGTAAACTCCAGTGACATATAGAAGAACATCGAGTACAACCTCAAATCAGGATACATCCACGTGATTTCGATTGCTGTCAAATTGCTATCAGATTGTTTCATGAGTATGAGTGTCTCACTGTGATATTACTTTTTCAGCTGTTCAGATGTGATATCCATAGACGTTTGCGTCATTTTGGTTGTAATCCATAATGCAACAGAGACTTGCATTCATGAATATTTCAAAATCATCTAACGATGTTCATAGACTCTACCATGAATATCATATATGCTTATGCATATATATAAACATTTATATACGTGTATATACGTATATATGTGCATATGAATACAGCGAAGGTTTACTTTCTACCTACCTTTTATTTCCTCACGTGTAGTGATTTCGTCATATGCTTGAGATACTAAGAGATTCCAGCTTCTGATACCTACAAGAAACAACAGTGAATGAAGAGCAAAATAAAGATTAGTGAAATAGTGTGTTGAATTCCACTGACTCAAGATGAAGTTATGCCTGCTGTAATCATCTAGCAGTATTATACTTCTCTCCTGGGATACTATGAACTTAATACTCCTAAGGGAGATTTTCCATTGGAAGCAGGTGATTAATCCAGAAGGAAATATGCCAACGCTCACTTTAGACCCACGAAGTGGAACAATAGTGAGGTAAGTGGCATCTAAGAGAGTGATCTCAATGTCTTAACATTATTCCTGAATGCGAGATGCACACAGGGTGATAGTATAATATCCAAGCACTCTGTATTTACTTTCACTTCTTTTACAAGTTCCAAATAAGTCAATTCGAGCGTCAAGTGGGATTCTGTCTCCCTGATTGTTTCACATCACCCATCACTGACAATAACTACATTTGCATTCTCGGGAGTGTGCTGAGTGATTTCTGCAAATATATAAAATACTTGATGAAACAAAGGCATGGAAGTACAAATAAACATGTATGAATATTATTACAGATCGAAAAATACCTTGAGAGGAAACAGATGGCCGGAACTCATCACATCCAATATATTCAGGTCCATATGTCCTGCCTGCACCAAGATAAGGGATAATAGTAAATGAGAGAGAGTTCACAAAGTGCGATAGAATGTTCGAGTGCATGAAACTGTTATTCAATCACGTAGTAACTCACGTACTTTTCGCCCATTCTGAAAATATAATGATTTGTGTCCGTGTGAGTGTTCGTATGTGAACTGGAGGTTAGTGAGAAATCGGTATAAAGTAAAAGATGAGTTGTTCTTAAGATGGAGACTGTTATTCTGTTCACACGTCGTCTTCAATTGCAGATACTCCAACTGTGTTTGAAGACTATCTTGACGTAATTCAATTGATGGTTATTTTACAGTAGAGAGTTTGGTTCCAATTCTGACATGCTTACGACTCAATGTTTGAATGTACCTCCACTTACAAATGAATGATTATGTTCCCACTTGAAGATTACAAGTCAGCGCAAATCGTGTTCAAATTCAAGGGTATTTTCCATGAGGTCACTTAGAAATCAAATCTCCCAGCATTCCTCCACCAAACACCATCACTCAAGTATTTCCATCAAATATCTAACCAGGACATTCACATATTACTTTTCAATTCAAAATAGTGATTTCAATGCCTGTATTGATCATGAGACCATCAAATTCATCAGCTACACCAAGCAAATGATCCACCTTCTTCATCTATGTTCAGACGACAGTGATTACAGGTTATCACCAATCATGTTGATTGTTGCAGCGAGCTGTGTATTCATTATATAAGACCAGAATTTATAACAATCACAGAGTGAATGGCCTTCGAATAAAGAAACACAAACCTTTATGTGCCTCTAATGTGGGTTTGTATCGCTGGAAAGTCCATTTTATGTCCGGAACAAGTTCACCTGCGAAAATAACGGAGGATGTAGTTTCAGAGGTTATGCGAAAAATAGTAGAATCTGATGCAGAATCCCTAATTCATGCTCAATATTCTCAACACTAATATTCAGCGCATTTCGCATCGATTCGTGTCACATCCGATCATGTTGATGATGATAATGGTGAAGGTGAATATGTTTGTGATCCGCATATGCACCTTTCAAGTCGTAATACACTACATTTTCAAATTTCACTCTGAATTATTGCATGGCAAAATTATATATATTTGCTTACCATATTCCTCAAAGAGGACGCGCAATGACGCTGTCGTCACTGAAATCGTGTATGAAACGATGGAGAAGACAGTCAATAGACGACAATCGCCTCGTGCAATAATTTCAATAATTATTCTTATGTACATAATTAGGAATACAAGTATTTATGAGAAATTAGACGAAGCATGCTGAATCGCATCATCATAATCTTTCGTCTTCCGTAGAGTTCTGAATGTCAGTCGTGGCAAACACCTGTTTCTTTGCTCACAATTATGAGAACATTTAACTCTATAGATTCTTAATCACTGTCAGTGCAACGACTGCAATGCAGTAAGCCTATTTCTGAGTTGAGTAGGCATCAAGCAAAGAAGTAGGCGGATGTTAGCACTGTGCCTTACTAGTCAGATAGATAACGTACCTCAGTAGGTAGGATAAAACGTTAATCAGATTCTCAGTGTTGTTGTGAATGGATGTTTTCAAGGTAGACAAAAGCTGCAAGACGGATCAACAAAATCCATCAGCGTGACAGTTCCTTCATGTGAAATGATTGCATCGAGAATATCATCAGAAGGATGATTTTATAGAATGACAATAGAGATGAATCACAAACCCTTGAAGAAGTCCGGTTCGTAGTAGTTTTTGTAATTTCTGTTTATACAATCGACATCTGAAAATGTTAATTCATTGAAATCCACAAATGATCCACCTACATTGATCAATCTTTTTTGTGTCACTGGGAAACGCGTCTTTCATATCATCTGCAAAAAATACAATGAGATGTGTGAATCGAAATAATATGGGGGGAGGGTGGGTGTACAGCATAAGTTTTCCATGTAATTTCAGTTTACTCCCTTTGATATTTTGTGTCTTTGACAATGCATCAGTTTGTAAGGAATGTACAATCGATGAATTAACTCTCACTTTCTCTCTCTCAATCTGTTAAACTGTAATCATTTGTTCTATGCTAGTTGTGATCGCAGAGGATATCTATTCTTCCCTTTCTGTTCACATCTCATTCCAGATGTGACCACTGCGTAACGAAAAGCTACATGCTCACTCACTGATATTCGTTTGAGGCTGGGTGACTATCTAACCGGATTTCGCACTGAGCTCTGTTCATGCGTAAGCGACAAATTATAAATGGCACGTTGGTTATTGAATAAGACGAAGTTTATTTCAGTGGTTGGAAGTGAATCTCCTTGAGAGAGAGATAGTTCAAAAGGTGAAAACACTTTCCTTGAATAAAAGTGAGTTAATGTGAACAAGAGTAGAAAATGAGATGAAGAGAATGTTCCATGTTTTACCTGTTATTATTTTCGAAATTCTTTGAAGATGGTTTATTCTCTCGTCATATCTCTCATTCAACTCTGTGAATAAATATAAGTTGTTAATGTATACCATTCCCGAAATATCGTTTTCATAGTTTAAAATATGCGTTGTTGTTCCATGATTTCGGAGAATCCTGCACATGCATAGTCTAATCCCCATGACAATAATTTGCGTCCGCTTAATATTAAAAATACGTCAGCTGTCACTGACGCTAGTGTCACGCTTGCAAACACACACTAATCCCAGGTGATATTCTTACAACAGACCGCAATGAATCTGAACTCAACCTGAATGTACAGTTCATCAGAATTGAACAGTTGCAAATACACCTGTTGATTTTATTCAGTTCTGAATTTGCTTCATTTGCAAGAATCTTCGATGGACAAAGCTATCCGACTTGTTCACTGCTGAGCAAAACGTATTTCAATGAGAGGCGAACATGAACTTACTCACTTTTATAACTGTCGACCATCTCTTTGAAATCGTCAGCCCGTCGTTTCAACAACTTCGTTTCTAAAATGTAAACACAATGGAATATGGGTCAGGCAATTTCGGGTATACTTCATGTGGAAAAATGCTTCGTGAATGGAAATCGTCTTCTCTGACTGTTGAGACGATATGAGAGAAACGGAATGGAATGAGATGACATTCCTACTAAAACTGCTACTGTTACAATCTTCTAAACATATTGCAAATTTATTAGAATGCATGTAAACTTCCACTTACTTTGAGGATCACTGCAAACCTCCGCTTTCTTTGTGCTTCCAAATCCTCCAACTAGAAAGACATTAGGAATAGATGCGTGAATGAAACATTCTGGCCTGTATTTAAATACAACACAAGGAAGATGGGAGTATAAATAATCTGGGTATCGAAACACTCAGCTTATTTGTTCTCTGTATTACCTTCAGAATCACTGTATCATAGCCGTCTGCCCATAATAGAAGATTAGATAAATTGAGGCTTGTGAATTTGGTAGGTTCAGTTGACGTGCTTTCCAATTAATAATAATAATGTACTTTATTCCAAAAGCAGTACTTATAATACAGAATGGAATTCTCAGCATTTGTCACAAAATTGCATCTGATTTACTCAAAATATAATTAAAATTAAAAATTAAGACTAAATTAACCAGGGTATTTGTTCACATTTACGACATAAAGTCAAAAATATTCGAGAGATTGAGATTATTAAATATAATAATATTAGTAATAATAATAATGATAACAGTGAGTTTGTTTCAAACGGTATTGTCGATTCAGTTTGGAAACTTTAGCATGTTATAGATTATTGGATCTAATGTTCTGCTTATACATTTAAGTGAGGGGAAACACAAAATTAACAGTTATAACACAGCCTAAATTATGTACACATTCATGAAAAAATAAACAAAACAAGAAATTGAGAGGATTATTAACATAAGAAATACAATAACAATAAAATTTGATGCTGTAAGGGTGGAAGATTGGATTATTGAGTGGTGCAAAGAAGGTTAGTTAGTTCATGGCTGACACCGCCAGCTGAGATTTCGAGATAAACATGGTTATTTCGTTGGACAAACAGTGCTGATAGAACATTAAAAGACTAAATCCAAGATCTCTAAAACGAAATTATACATGTGGATGTCACTGCACGTTGCACAGTGCCTCCTATCGAAATCCAACATTCACCTCCTAATTTACGATCCGTCAAATTTTCATAGAATAGACCTGTGTGATACCACGTACTATTCAATACAAATTTCATTTATGAAGCCATTGAAAAAAATTGGATAAATTTGCAGAAAACAGTTCAGCATTATTTACCTCTTGCCACATAGGCACAGTGAAGCAGAACAATAATGACTGTTACAAGCGACAGCGAAGGATGCACCATGATTAATTCTTCTGTTGAAAACCATCTGTATTTATAGTGGTGAGTTTTCTACTGACAGCCTTCAACTAAAATTTGATTGGAAGATGAGAATTCGAGTGACAGACATGTTCGTTGAGATACAAATATGAACTTCAACCAATCATGAACGCTATTGAATTAAATTGTAATAAACACTGAGTAGTAACTATAGAAAGTAGAATCTCCCCCTTTTATCATCAAATAACACATTTCAACGACATATGGACCACTGAAGCACAGTGTCGTGATGATGTCAGTTTTCCATTGACGAAGTGTTATCTTTCACGTTAACAGATCAACAAGACAACTTGTGATGTATACCGTGACAATTATTAATTCAAATAATTACGGAACTACTGAAAGCAAATGAAGAGCGCCTGTTGAAGACAAGAACTCACATCATCCATCAGCTGTGTGAAAACAGTCATCGCCGACATCACCTCCTTCTTCCACTTCTTCATTGACTTCTACATTTATGGGTCCATAATAATTAGAGAATTATTGTCATTGAAAACGTTGGTGTTTCAAGTAACTTCGAACCAATAAAATGAGTAGATTTCAGACTAAAACATGTGTCCGTGGTAGCAGGCGTAAATGTGATAACACTGAACCGAATGTCAGGTCATCTAAGAATAATCGTACAGGATTTATGAATTTAGAGTTTGAACAGAAAAACAGAGAAGTATTACTTACTGGTTGTACCTAATCCCTCTCAGAACAGAGATGCGGTCGTTTTCAGTGAAATGGTGTGATCTCTGATGTTGTTAGTGTTTAGTTTGTGGAGTCTTAAGAAGATTCATTGAGCATTTCGTTAGAGCATGAAATATTAATGAGCAATGTCATTTGGTGTAAAATGAGTATTTTCGTCTTATCAATGTTTGTGAAAGCAGTGAAGGAATCCCAGTAATGGCTGTCAAGTAGAAGTCGTCGCATGAAGACGTCGTGAATCTTGTTTAATAGCAGATTGGTGTTCACAGGTAGATTTGTGATTCGGTCATTCAATCGCAGAAGACTGGCCATCCTAAGGGAAAGTCAGAGATCGTTTCTCAACAATCATGCAAGAACAGACAATTTACTTTACTAGATTGCATAAGACCGGAAAGAAAAGTATGTTTGGCTTGAAGTCAGTAACCTAAACCCCCCGAGTCAGCGCCATCACGACTTCAAAAGCTTGAAGTTGCGTGTTGCTATCGAAAAGTGTGGATTGTAACAAAAATAGAAAAAGCAAAATTTCTGCACGTGTTTGCCTAAGAGAGTGAGAAATGATTCCAAACACTAAATCGTACTCTCGTCATAAGGAGGATTGTCGCAAGAGACAGACTCACTAAACAGATTTCAAGTCATATGAAACATTCAATCATGAGAATAATAAACCCAATCATTGAAATTATCCCTATACCAAAACAGTCTTCTGGCACTGATATTAAATTTAGGCCTATTGCAATTACTTCTCCTTTTTCAAAATTGATGGAAAATTACTTTTACTTCGTCTTGAACCTTCATTGAAACCTTTTAATGATCCTTAACAATTTGCATGTAAACATGGTAGAAGTACTTTGGATGCTGCAGTTGTCTTATATCATAATGTTGTTTCTTGTTTAGACAAAGGTGCCAAATATGTTAGTGGTGCTTTCCTAGACTACACATCTGCTTTTGACGCTGTACCTACGGGCCTTTCATTAAATAAGCCTTCGTTGACGCACACAGGATCCTGGGCTAAGATTTGGTTGCATTCTCATTTTTCTGATAGAATGCAGTATACTGTATACAATGGCAAATCTTCTTCTGCTTTGCTTACAAAAGCCGGTGTTCCTCAATTTACCGTCCTCTCTCATTTTCTCTTTTCTTTCTTCCTACACGACCTGCCTCACTGAAACGAAACTAACTTTGTCAAATATGCTGATGATCTGACTGTATCGCTGCATAACACTTCCGAGTCTGACTGCTCCAAACTTAATAGCTTTCTGTTGGACATCAGCAAGTGATCGAAGTCAAATGGTCTTCTGTTAAATCCTTCCAATTGTCAGGCAGTTTTTTTCATTTTCAAGCATCAACGTGATATACATGAGCTAGTTTGTTCTCATGATGTCTGTAGCATAGACGTCACTGAAATTGAAACCAAGTCAAGCAATAAATACCTTGGATTAGTTCTTTCCTCTGAACTTTCATGGTCATCCCACATCTTGCCGATGTCTAAGAAAGTGTTTCGTCTTACCTTCTACATTCAAAAGGTAAGACAATAAGGTATCAAGCAACCTTTAGTTCTGCAATTTTTAAACTCCTGTATTTTACCTATTGTACTCTATTGCTCTCCATTAATCTTCCCTGGGCTTCTTAATAAAGACAATGTCATATTACGAAGGGTAATAAATGCTGTGTGTGGGCCTTGTGGTTCGCCACTGCGTGAGCTCGCCAATACTATAGCCGAGAGACACATAAATTCTTGTACAAAATGGGCAGAGGCCGCACTGTCAAACCCTCTGCACCCCTTTTATTTACAACCATCCACTTGTACCTCACCAGGTAGGACGAGAAGTTATATGCTGGAACCACTGATTACAAAAATTCCACAATACCGTATTTAGCCCGTATTTTATGTGATGAAGACTCTGTTAGACGTGAAACATATAAGTTACTATGCAATTAGCAAAGTGAATCGACCCTTTCATTGTTCATCTTTCTGTAATTTTATGGTGTCACTCTTTCTATCGTTTAATTATAACTTTGCTATTTGCTATTTTAGTTGTTATTACTATTATTTCTATAATCTTATGCTTTATGAATATTTTTCTCCGTATTGCATAGAGTAATTTGCTAAATAGCTGCTAAAACAACGTTTCGTTATCATTATTATGTAACGTTTATTTTTATTATTTTTCTGTTTTGTTCTTCTGTCGTTTTTGAGTAAATTAAATGCAATATTGTACTGAATGCTGAAAATTCCTTGCTGTATCATTTGTACTGTTTTTGGAATAAAGGAAATTATTATTATTATTATTACTATTAGTCTGTGTAATTTACAATTAACAGATTCACTGGACTGATTATTTGCGCTTACAGAACAATGCTGTGGTATTTGTATTTCACAAATTATTTCAACATTCCACACAGTTCCAAATTCCAACAAAGATAATATGCTTTGATTTATCTCTCTCTCTCTTTCTCATATGAGAGGAATCACATTTCTAATGAGAGTGAAAAGGAAATAAAGCACAAAAGCGCACACACACACTGAATGAACACATAAGGTGTTAATGTGAGCAAATGAAATTTTACAAAGTCATCTCTTCCGTTATTAGAGCTCAATGAGTCAATAAATAAAACAAAAGTATTGATTTAATAAGTGATGACATGAACTTCAGAGGGTATCACTCTTTGTGCGTATGTATTGATCTACTGATAAAATTCTTTGCTCTGTTTGTCTGTCTGTCTATCGTGCAGCCTGTGTGCCAAATGGTAAGATGGATGACCGAGATGAAGGAAAAACGTAGGATATATGAAGAGAGAAGTCAGTGAATGGAAGTGTTGTGTAGCATATTGTAGAAGACACAGAGTGAAGTTAACTAATTAACTAATCAATTAATTAATTATTATATTATTATTATTTCCTTTAATTCCTAGAGGAACATAGGGCTTCAGCCATGCGTCTCCATTGCGTTCTGTTCTCTGCTGTAGTTTTCACCTGGCTCCAAGTCTGCCCACACGCTTTCAATTCTCCTTCACATGATCTCCTCCAGGTCACCCTTGGACGACCAACTCGTCGCTTCCCTTTCGGGTTCCACTCGAGGGCTTGTCTAGTGATGTCACTTGCTGGTTTCCTCAGAGTGTGTCCAATTCATCTCCATTTCTTCCTGCCTATTTGTTTCACGATCGGTTCCTGGTTGGTTCGCTCATTGCCAGAGATCTTTGTTGCTGATCCTCTCCGGCCATTTGATCTTGAGTATTGAGCGAAGGCATTTGTTAATGAAGGTCTGTAGCTTGTTTGAGCTGCTCTTTGTGACACGCCAAGTCTCTGATCCGTATAGTAGTACTGACTTCACATTGGAGTTGAAAATACGGATCTTATTTTTGACGCTGAATGCTGTTGACCTCCACATAGACTTGAGAGAAATGAAAACTTCTCTTGCTTTTCCGATTCTGGCTTTGATATCCTCGTCAGTTCCTCCTGTAGCTGAGACGATGCTTCCCAAGTAGGTGAAAGAAGTTGTTTCCTTCAGGTTCCTCCCGTTTATGCTGATTGTTGTCGGTTGCTGCTGTTGATGTTGGCCAGGAATCTTCATTACCTCTGTTTTGTCTATGTTCACTTGAAGTCCTATCTTTGCTGCTTCTTCTGCCAATTTGTTGCTTTTCACTTGCATATCTTCCAGTTTGTGGGAAATCAGACATATATCATCGGCGAAATCCAAATCCTCCAAGGCTTTTGTGTCGGTCCATTTTATGCCTGTTCCCTCGTTGGTTGCCGTTGTCTGCCGCATTATCCAATCAACTGCAATCAGGAAGATCATTGGTGACAGTAGACAGCCTTGTCTCACTCCCGTCCTCACTTCGAAGGATTCTGTGAGCCTCCCGTTGTGGATTACTTGGCATGCAGCGTTGTCATACAGCTGTTGAATGAGATGTATAATTGTCGGCGGCACCCCGTAGTAGCGAAGTAGTTGCCAAATCACATCTCGATCGACGCTGTCGAAGGCTTTCTCAAAATCGATGAAGTTGAGATAGATAGGTGACTGCCATTCCAAACTTTGTTCAATGATAATCCGTAGGGTGGCGATTTGGTCAATGCATGACTTGTTCCTCCTGAATCCGGCCTGTTCCGGACGAAGTTTTTCATCTAGGGCTTGTTTAATTCTCTCCAGGATGATGCGACATAGTATCTTGCTTGGGATGGACAGAAGCATAATTCCATAATTAATTAGTTAGTGAATATGTGAAGATGATTAAATTCTGATGTTGTGGTGATTTGAAACCGATGATGAATATTT